ATAGCTTAAACTTGTGCGGGTATATGAGTCAATCTAACCTCTTGCCTACAATTGACTTTACGAAGAAAACCAACTTTTTTCTGTCTCTATTCACCATTATTTAAAAATACACATATTACTGAGATACAGGGAAAAAACTGAAGGAGGTTCTGGCTAAGGTCATTGTGTGAGTTTAAATAAGTAGCAATGCTTTGTTTTGACCTTCCATGGATCCCCTGTGAACTGCATCAGTAGTTGACCTAATAAAAGCTTATTTCTTTTGTCTCAAAACAGAATGTTAAATGGGATGTTATTGTAGTATTGTGATGAGTCTTAGTGATACAGCATATATTAAATTAGCACGTTAAAGTATCATGTAGAATGGAAACAAGTAATTGAGAATTTTTAATGAGTTGGTCGTAATTTTGAAGCTTTTACATCTCATACTCAGCATTAGATATTTTTGTGTACGGGTTGTATCTGATGTGTATTCTGGACAGTGCCATTAAAGCCAAATAGAAAAGCCAAACTCTGCCTTGAGTTTGCAGTGGTCTTGTAACTCCCTACAACGAGTACAACAAAGATCTACCACGTAGCGTCAACAACTTATTGAGCACAATGAGGTAGTGTAACATCAGCCAGTTCGATATTCAAAGGTTACTGTAAGTTTAATAGGCCAACGATAGAGAGACAAGTAACCATAGGCAATATGGTTATTTCTTCCTAGTATCACTGATTGTAGCCCTGCATTCCTTGCATAATTCAGAGCCATGAATGAAGAGCTCTGCAAAAAATATTTTTTTAATTTGAAAATATTGCTCTTAACCACATGCTGCAAAATAATATCCACAGCTTTCCGTGTGCACTAAACTACAGCTCTGTTGTGTTCTACCTTCAACTTCCTTAGAAAAGCAGTTTAACATTAGACAATGCCATACATCATTGTTTGCTTATCAGTGATCTCATTTGTGTCTAGTTACTTTCAAATTGCTTGGCCTTGAAGCTGTGTAAAAAAGCAGTTGCCTTCTGACTCAACAAGATGCAGAGAGTGAAGAGCTGAATAAAGGTTCACTGTGATTTGGTATGGGTATCAATATCAACTGGTATTTGATGCTGGTATCATGAAAGTTGGGGAACAACAACCAATTCTGACAAAATGGGAATGGGCTTTTATATTTGTCCTGCTTTCTCTGCAGGGTATTTCAGTCCCTTCCAGAAATAATTTTGTCTATTCCAACCCCACTCCATGTTCTTCATGCAACACTTAAGACATAAGTAAAAAGAGAATTGTGAAAATATACAGCAAAGGCATTTTAGAATACACAAGAAATCTCATGTTCTTGCCTGACTTCAACAGAAACCTTTATAGTAAGGGTTATGTTCTAACCTAACATAGTTCTGAAAACGTATGCATGATCTTTAGTCTAGCTACAGCAGTTTGTCTTGGTTCTAGATGTGTTGGACAATCTCCCTCATGAGAAGTTGAACAAATTTGAGCATTGTACTCCAAAATCTTATGCTGTTTAACTATTCTGGATCCTTTTCTGTTCAGTTGAAACAAGTTTTCATGTTGTCAGGATATGCTGGGGACTAGAGGGACAACTAAGAATGGAGTTGAGGATGGGTCAGCATGCTTGAAAACGTTTCTCTTAATGTTGCATTTACCTTCCTTATCCTGTGTCCAGTCTCCCACATGAATGCTGAGCAGAAAAGAAAGCTGTTCTTGACAATTCAGTTGTAAAATGTCCCACCTTCAGTTACGATATAGTCATCATGCAGCCGTATAGATATCAGAGAGTTCATATTTCAGGTGAGTTACAAAGCCAAGCCCCCTGTGAAATTTGTGTTCCCTATCAGAAAAACAGCTTCCAAAAGCTTCTGCACTTTGTGCCGTCTCTTGCTGGTCCACATGGTGGTTATTATTTTTACCTGTGTTAATTCCAGGTCAGGAGAGCAATGATTCTTTCCTTTCTCAGGCTTGCATTTAAACACTCATTTCAGGTTGCCTTGGTATGACCATATTTTAAAGGGCTAGGCTGATGAGCTGTATTTTCTAGAGTCGCTTTGAGTCTTAAATAACTTGAGCTGTTTTCCCCTCTTCATACAAACCACCACCTCCTGCTTCCACACTGCCCCTTGGACACCTCTCCCAGGCCTCGGGAGCAGAGCTCGGGATTCTTTCTGACCTTCCAAATGTGGCTGATCAGGTTTCCCACCAGCTGCACGAAGGCTCCCAAAGCAGGATAAAATTCCCAGCGCTGTGCTGAAGCCAGGGTACGTGCCCTTCTCCAGCTGTGCGCCAGTGTTACATCTCTGCTGGGATGCAACTGAGAGCTGGGGCGATCACGTTGCGTTGCGGGTCGTGGTTGTTGAGCTGCCCACCCCACGGGGAGGCTGCATCTTTCCAACAGCTTCCTCTATTTATATACCATGCTCTGATGGTACGACTATGAAAAACCTGCACAATTTTTTTCCTTTTCAAAACATTTCTTACACTAGTAGGTTATTTTCATTATTGACTGAAGGTATTAAAACATCAAAATCCTCCAAAGGCAATGTTATTTTTTAAACTTGTTCTTTTTGAGTGTCTATTAAAAACCCACAAACCAAGCTAAACCAGACTATCTGTAGAGAGAAGAGGACTGTGATAACGACATGAAAGGATTTCTGAGTTAAGCCCATAACTTTTGAGAAGGGAGATTTAAAAGCTGCTGCAAAATAAAATACAAATCTATTAAAAGATGACTGTGGATTTAGAATTACATACTTTAAATTTAAAAAAAAAAAAGACCAACCACAAATATTTGGGAGAATACATAGTGGGGAGAGAAGCTTACAAATGTTAATTCAGCTTAAGCTAATTCTCCCGGGGCGATGTTGACATCCAGTAAATAATAACCAAGAGGTTTACTGGCTGAAGGGTTCACCAAAAGAGTGAATTTGACATTACACTGATACTGTATTCCTGCAGAGCGGTTTTTTAAATTTATAATAACGAATACTTCTGTGGAAAGTCAGCCCCTGCATTCCCCTAGCTAGGGAACAGAGATGACATTATGAGACATGGGCATTTAAGTCAAAGCAGCTCATATTTTTAAAATTAAGCACTTGAAACATACTATTCTATAGAAACTAATTATCAAATGTCTTCATAGAAATAATTTGCTGCTGGCATTGAATTATTCAGTGCTTAGATGAGAAAAGATGAAGAAATGAGTTTGATGAAATCTTACCTGTTCATGACCAATTTGCAAGCATGAGTAAGACTTCAGTAGACATAGATGTTTCATAATCAGGTTTTGTGTTTGCTGATAATTACTAAAATGGCTTTGACTGCTAAGACCAAAGAAGTTTTAAAAATCTGGCTTACCTGCTGTTCTCCTTGTCTTATGTATATCTATAATTTCTGTATTCCTTTTCCATTTAAACCTGTGAAGACCCTGGAGGTGTGGACTGTGGAGGTAGCTGAATTCATTTAATTTGTCTTGTCGCTAGTTTATAACTTTACATTCACAAGTGGATGGGATGTCCAGAGGGAAAAGTCTTGTAAAGAATGTTTGGCCATTAAAAATAAACACATTCATACATTGAAAATGTTATGGGAGCATTTATGTAAACACTAAGGTTGGCCGAAGCCCATTTAATAAAACTTCAATTTTGTAACTGGCTTGGTCTTCAAGTGCCATCACACTTTTCTAACACTTCTGGGCAGCTTTTACTGGTTTGTCCTTACAATGTTTTTTGTGGATCATTTATGGGTGAGGGTATATTTTGACACCTCCCCCATAAATGTATCATAATGATGGCAAAAAACTGTTGCCACGTTCAGCAACAAATGAAAGGAAAAGCTGGGTAGCCCACATTATTTGAAATAGTCAGTGATTCTGATTCTGCTTCTGGATACGATGATCAAGCATTTCCTGTTACAGAATACACAGTGATCCTTTCCAACTCATCACATCTAAAATGCTGCCCAGTACACAGAGACTCCCATCAGCTGTAATGTGCAGGGAATGGCAGAACGTGTGAAAAGATAAGAATAACCTTGAGCCACAGCAAATTCTATACCAAAAGCCCCTGAGGACTAACGATGAAAGATTTCATTAGACGTAAATGTACTAATAAAACGGCTTAATGTAGTTACTCTGAATCTTGTCCACCAGATTCTGTAACAAGGAACACTTTTCAGTGCCTGGATGTAAAAAATATTTCAGTTCACATGCACAACATATTATTAAAATCTGATGTGTTAAAGATAAAGTTCAAGTCTAAATAACGATTGGTGCCAAAAACTTCAGGCCAACTGACTTCAGCTTTCTTTCTTAATACTTTAGCTTTGTCCGAAGTCAGAAATTTAAGATGACTGCAGAGAATTTAAATATGTTTGAAAACTGAGCTTGATTTCAAATCAGTGTTAGGTTTACTGAGAAATGGGCATTTTGTAAAAGATATTATAAATCTGTGACTCTCTCCTACTGGGTATTCATTCTTGTTAAACTTATTCTGAATAGACAGCACTGACCTTTTAACTCCGATAATATCAGTGTCTGTGTACATTGGGAGGTCTGTACCAGACGTTATGGTCCTGATAATAAAATGTTCTACAAATGAACAAAAAGGCAAGTGTTATAAATAGGAAATTAGCACCGCCTTTCCTCTGTCTTGTTGCTTTAATATTTCTGTTAACACTAAACTAATATGTAGAACACCTTCCTGAGATATAAAGGGGAACACACTTCTAATGGCATTACTAAGGATTTGATAGAAAATTCAGCAGTTTTGTAAGGACAATAAATATTTCTCATCAGTAATTGTTTTTCATTTCTTGTTCTTTAATGAAAGAGCTGTGTATTTCAGATTAGGAATTAATCTTGTAAACCTTCCTTTAAAATACAAAAAGTTTTTGTTTATCCTGAAACATAAAAAAAACAGATCGAGCAACTGCTTACTTCCTTTTTTGTAAAGCCACCTTTGTCATAACCAAAAATCTTAGCCTTGGTCCCAGAAAGTGTTCTTCTGGGATGGCCCAGCAGGTCCCCTTGCAGGAAGGAGGCAGGTGGGTGCTGGCTGAAGCCGGTGGCACTCAGCGACTGCTGGTGATTGTGGGACTGGGGAACGAGCCACACCTTGGGAAACCTATTGAGGTTTTGGCTGGCTGTGCTGTAAAAAATTAATAATATTACAGTCAAAGGTGCACATGTCTCCATTACAGTGGTCTGGGGCATTTATAAATGTATAACAACTTCCCAACCAAATGAGAACTTCTGTAAAATTCTCTGAGGTTCTTCAGCTTGCTTGTTTTCCAAATTATGTGAAACTCCAGTCCAGATTTTTGATGGACTGATGAAGAGATCACGTTCCCTCCAGATGACTTGTTGTAGGTTAATTATTCTAAAAACAAAAGGAGTCAGGAAAATCTAACGATTTTGAGTCATTTTATTCTGTCAGGCTTTCTTTTGTAGTGTGGGTGCTCAATCCATTGTATTTCATTGCCGTAGGTTGTTTTTAATCGTCATTTTTTATGCTTTAAGATGTGCCTGCATCCACAACAGGTTATTTTATCAGTGCACAAATAAAGTAAACCTAGTTTATACCTACAAATAATGTAGGTTTGTATGAATCTATTCACCATATTACCACTGGGACGGTTTTCTGCTGTTGATGAGTTGTTATATCCTCCTTCACCCTTCTGGATCCTTCCTACAGGTTCTGACAATGTTATGGTTTCATTGGTGGCTTCAGGATCTAATTCTATGAGTTTACTTCCACAGTAAATATCGTATAGTATATGGTGTGTTTAAGGTGATCTTGATGTCCTGTTTGTATTGAGAATCACTGGTAGCCAGGGAAAGCTATTGGCAATTTTTCTTCAGAAAGGTGGAAGCTGAGATATTGTTTAGCACTGGAAGCTAATCTTTGGTTTGATATTATGGGCATACAAACTACTTCAGTTTAATTTTGAAGGTAGTATGCTGCTGGTTATTATTGTCACTCAAAAGGTGATTGGCAAGTCACTTCAGATATCGGTTATCATGAGATTAATGGGTATAGTGAGGCTCTAAGCCTGATGAATGCTCAGGAGAGGAAAATAACTTTGTGAACAAAAGGGCAAACACCTTACTTGCTGCCCCTGTTGCTAGTGCACTTATCAAACAAGCTGTCTCCCAAAGCTAGGCAAAAACCAAATGTGTAAAAAACCTGGTGGATTTCAATCACAAGAGAGCTTAGCTCCCACAGCTACATTGAAGCAGGTCCCTGAAAACTCTGTCCATAGGAGCTGAGGGAGGGCGACTCTGCCACTGGGGACTGGCTCTGCACAGCAGCGCTTCTCCAACAGGCACCTCTCGCTGGCTGTGGGGGTGTGTGCACAGCCAAGGTGTGCTGCTGCTCCCTGTAAGCACTTGGATGATGTCATTTCTCACCACACTCCTGAACAAAACAATTATTCATGAAACCCTTGCTCTGAAGATGGTAATATATCGAGTGGCTCTCTGGCATCTCAACATGCTGTATGTCCTCAGCGGTTGCAGACAGCCGTTCTGTAACCAGAATTCAGAGATGTCACGAGTGGCTGAACAAACAGAGATCGCCAGTTAATGGTTAAGCTCTCAATTTACTAAAGCATTTGTTACCAGTTTGCAAAAGAGATCAAACAACTGTGAATCATAACCTTGGCTACTAATTAAATCCTTTATTCCCTTTCCTCATCGCAGAAGCGTTTAATTTCAAGGAATCAGGATAGCCTGTTGTGCAAAATCAGATTTTACAGCATAAGCAGAAGCAAGCTTACTGTAAAGTTTCTTACTGGAGTTGGAAATGGGAGGGAATAAAACGAGAATATTAACTTTCCCTCCTGGCATGGAAGTTCATGTGAGCACTGAACAATGATTGATGTAAAATAGCTGCACTGGAAAATTGTTTTGGTGGTACAGTTTTGCTGTTTCACTGAATGGTGAATATAAATTTTATTATCCAGCTGTCTTGCTTACAGATGAGACTCATCATCTAGATAGAGAATGAGGGATTTGGTGTGCTTTCCTAGGGACCGCCTGTCCCAAAGAAAAATATTTTACTCAGAAATAATGGACTGTGAAGAACAACCCAGAGGAAATGAGGCATAAACCAAAACACTACAAGCAGTTTTATTGCAATTGAAATTTATTTGTTATGTTTTTGTGTGCATTTATATCTAGGATGTATGGCTGCATGACAGTTACACTTTCAGAACTTTGACACTTAATTGCAAATTAATCAGCATTTGTCTTTTTGGCTCCCATCTCTGTGAAATAGAACTTAAAAACCCTGAACACTTTTCCCTCAGTTTTTGAGGAAGTTGTCTCTGTCAGCAGAGTGATGAAGCAAGAGCTCACAGAACATGGACACCATGAGCTAGCATCAGGCTTACTCCATTCACCAGGACTCAATCCAGACAGGCAGCCATCCCAGTTAGAAAAGCAAATTTCCATTTTTATCACATAGACCATGATCTTGCAGTCAAATCTGCAGGAGCAGGGACCTGGAGAGGTCTCTCTGAGACACCTCGGTAAGGTGCTAAGAGGGAAAGGCCTCTCTATACAGATCCAACTGCAGGTTCACAGATTATTGAGGCACAGTCATTTTATATAAATGCACTTACAGTCATAGCAATCTGTAGACCTGTGGTGAAAGGCTGTACATTATTAGTTTGAAAAGCAACCATATTTTACACTGTATCCAGAGAAAGCAATCCTTTCTTGACATCATTGCTAAATCTGAACAATTTCTGTAACAAAAAGAAACCACTTGAGAGGCAGTACCTACAAGTAGAAAACGAGAGCTTTTTCTGGTTCTGTTTCTGGCTTTGCAGAAAGTTATTGTCCCACTAAAAAGTGTAAAATTTTGGAAAGGGAACACCCTATCTACACTTGCCATGTTGTGCAGAGGACAGACATTCACCATTTACACGTGCAGAACTTCAGTTTGCTGGGAAGTTTATCCTCAGGAAATACATTGATACTCACTAAAATTCCAGGTTATATTTAAATGAAGAGGCTTGGGTGATACCATGCTATATCTTACCAAAGACCCAAACCTGTACAGAACTTAAATATGATTTTTCCATCCCATAGTGAGTATGAATGCTGCCAGTTTCAGCACAGACAGAAAGCACTGCCTAGCGACATCTCAATATGCCTGTCTAAAAGTATTGCTAATAATAATTTTATAAACATAAACCATCTGGAATATCTAACTCTGCTTTTACTGCCGCTTGCTCAGACTTCTTGCTAGGAGTCTGTTTGGGGTGAGAGCTAAAATACTAGTTGTTCATGCATTTAAAATGAGAGAAAGACTGTGCAATGATGTCATTCAAGTGTGTCTTGATAAGGGTAATAGAATGAGCAAGTAGAAGAAATAATCATAACAGCTTAAATGTTTGATTTGATATTTTAATATTAAGGAAAATCCATCATTTTTGCAAGCTTCGAAAAATTTAAAATATCTGTTTCATTTAATGAACTGTTTTAAACATGTCAGATACTATGAAAATCTGTTATTTTCAAGTACAAGGAGCAAATTATTATTTTTTAATTCTGTTTTCAGTTCATATGCATGTGCGTGAAGAGGGGATATATTTGTTTAAAGACCTTTCAGATTATTTTGTCTTTATATACACTTACAGTTTGGTTTTGGGGTAGATATGAATGTAGGTATTTCATCCAGCTACCACAACATCATTTCGATTGTTTAGCAGTCAATGACTCAAAAATCTTTAAGGTTTTTTTAAATAATTTTTGAGAAACAGATCTGTGTAAGTGAAGGAACATATTGTACAGAACTTGAGGGGTGGGGCGGAAAACCCCAAAAACCTCAAAGTCTGGACTGCTAGAGTGACCGTGTATAAAAGCTGTACGTGGCTGATTGTGCAGAAACTGGATAGCTTCTTTTTTTCTTTTTTTCTTTTTTTTTTGTGGAAATGAAACTGGGAAAGATGGGTGGAGGTTTGCTTGGACATAGGAGGAGGTTATGTGGACACTTCTTTTTACTGTGAAATATATGCAAACCCAGCATAGGTCAGATAAAATCCTGGACTTTTATAGCCTTCTTGAAAGGTGGGGAAGGTCAACATAATAGTGCATTGTGCTCCCAGGCTGAATCGCAACTACTTACATTACACGTTCATGTGTTTGTTAGAGAAGCATTTACTACAGGCTGTTATATTTATTGTCTGGATGGAGATGCTCTTTCACCCCAGTAACCTTCGTCATTTTTCCCACAGGCTGCGAGAACACCACCGCGCTGCAATTAAGGTGATTCGTAGGATGCAGTATTTTGTGGCAAAGAAAAAGTTTCAGGTGAGTTGTGAATAGAAAGCTCCTTTTCTTAATAAAACCTTTTATTCTCTTGATTCATTGTTTCTTTTAAAAACTTAAGAGAGACTAGCACTATTCGTATCAGTAATGGTGAGCTACACCCACTATTCTCTCCTTCCTTCAATAGGGTGGTTGTTTAGCAGCAGGTTAGTCAACTGTGGAAACACTGGAAATAGGCTAAAGTCCTGAAATGCTGTCTGAATTAAAATGTTATTTTCTGCTAACGGACTTGACCCTTAACCCTCTGTTATCGCTGTCTCTTTCTCACAGTGCAAACATTCTCATATGTCTCCATTAATTCTGAACTGTATGTTACTGTCATGCCAAGTCAGTAGGATTAGAGATTAAAATACTACCTCAGCCTTGTTTCTGTCTCTTACTCAATGATAATGAACTCCTGATAAGAAACCAGGGTTGAAATTTGTTAGTGCATTGGAAGGTTTCTCCTTCCTTTTCCCTTCTCCCCCCTGCATAGGTGGGAGACCTCCTTCCCAGTTTGTGAGATATCGGTTCTCTTTATTCCTCTAGCCCTCACTGACATAGATTTCCTGTATCACTTGCTGTGATATTGCAATATCATAAGCATTTAACAGTACCTAATTAACCTTGTTGCTTGGTCTGAATAAAAAAATTGTGACTGCAAACTTTCTAAGAACGTGATTTCTAAATCAATTTCATTAATCCAGAAAAACACCTCTCAGAAGCCTTCAGCTTGATTTCAACCAGGTGAATACATACATATATATATATATATATGTATGTATGTATGTATGTATATAAGGAATACATCACTTTACTTAAAAGTATTTAATAAGGGACAATCTCCATAGAACAGGCTTCAGAACTGAAAATTCAGAGAAAGAGAGGGGCTTAACTGCCCATATCCATTTTCATACATGACCGTGCCACTACTGCTTACAATGGACTAAAAATTCTTTCCCACCCTTAGTCTAGACCCCCCAAAAAGGTAGGGTGTCCTTTTTCCTTCAGATTTGAAGGACACAAAGTTTAGGGACAAAAAGATGATGATGATGATGATGATGATGATGATGATGATATCTAACAGTCCAAGAGGTCATTGTTTCTGTAAGGTGATGCTTGCTGCTACTGAAAACTATGATTCTGACTTCCTCATTGAAATTTAGAAGTGCTGCTTGAATTCTTTAGTCATTTTCTACTTTGAATCTTTTTATTTTTACTAAAATTCATGAGCTAATTTATGGCTAAAGCTAAGCTTTTCATAAATTTCTTTCAGTTATGTATAATGTGTTCAGACTGTCACCATTTAGGCTGAAATCTCCCATGTTTGGGGTTTTCTTGTAAGGAGAGCTTTCAGAAAGTTTGCTAGCACATTTCACCTGTTTTTTTATTAGACTAAAATTAAGAAAGGCACAACATTTGCACTACTTGAAAATAGTTTTTATAGCCATTTTGTTTAGAAGATCCTTAACACTCGCTGGCCAGGACTTGTAACTTGACAAGGGACATGGCCCATTCCAAACATGTGTCCACTCCTGTCCTGTGAAAAGTTGCCTAAGCGTGGCCAGTTCCATTAAACTTTAATTTATTCTCTTTTTAAAACCTGACCCTTTGCTCCGTGGTAATTACTGAATCATTGCTCTCATAAATTTAGATCATAAAATATTTGCCATGGTATTAACTAAGCTGCTCAGAAACAAGAAATCTACGCATTATATATCTACCTCCCAAGTGGTATTTGTCAAAAACAGATTTTGAAAATGCCTGAACACTGTGTGCAACATTATCCACCTGGCAAATAAATGAAACTCCCCTGCGGCAGATGATTTGATAGAAGCTGAAAAAGCATTTGACTGAATAGAATGGGACTATTCAGTTCATACTTAAAACTTGTTTGTACTCGGTGTCCAGGTTGCTAATCTGGCTTCTCAGTTGTACTCTCACTTTCACATCTGCAAAAGACCTGGTTTTGGCCATCTACAAAATCTATCAACAAGGTTGTTTCTCATCCTTCTTTAGCAGTCTTTCTTCTTCCTGAGCTATTAATATTAGCTCTTACTAAAGAACTAAAAATGTCAGTTAGGCTGAAGTGAAATGTATCTCAAGCCACTCCTGCGTGCAAATGATTGGCTGCGGTTTCTGTCAGAAGCACAATCTCTCAATAAGAATATATGGGAGATATCTGATACATCTCTGTAATTTCTGAATCCAAGGTTATGACCGAGTTTAAAAATTTGGAGACCGCCAAAGGTACAGTTTCCAAAAGCACCTAAGTAACTTAATGCACAAAGTCACCTTGAAATTCAAGCCACAAGGTGCTTTTAAAAATCTCTCCTGTAATTAAGAGATAACTACTGTCATTATTCTTTCCTCAAAAGTATGTTGTAAATCTGCTTTGTTCTATTGTATGCACATAAAATAGTCATAAGACATTAAAATGTTTAGACATGTGCCAAGTAATGACTGTACAGTTTCTAATAACCAGACCAGTGCAATATCTGAAATTAAGGTAAAGCAGAATATGCTTTTTTTTTATGTAAATTTAAGAGGTCTGCATAGCTGTTTTCTGGTAGATATTTGTCTTCTAAGCTTTTTGTGTTTATGTGAAATGTATCTTCCTAAAGGAAAATTCAGAATTATTTTTTCTTTTAACTATTCAAAAAAACCCGTAATTTCAACAGCAGTCCATTGGACTATTATTATTATTATTATTTATAATTAGCTGGAACATAAGTAATTGCTCAGCCAGCACTTAGAAGCAGTATTTGTTAGAGATTCCACTGAAGCTTTTGGGGAGAGGAAGCATAGGAAGGAGGAGAGGAAGAGGAAAATTTTGCAAAATAAGTCCCAGTGTGAACCCAGCATGGTTCTTAAGCCATAGCAGCTGTTTGCAGGATACACCTGTATGCCTGAATTTGCCTAGATATGTTTTTTTTAAGAGTTCAATTAATAAAAGGGTGATGGCACCACAAGAGCCAAAGTCAGTTAGAAAACAGAGCCTTCCTGTTTTAAAAAAGTTAAATAATATAAATAAAGAGAAGCTAAACAGAGATACAAAGAAATTTCGAAGTACGTGAAAAGTAGTTCTTTGTGAAACATCACACTTGGGCATCATTTCCTCTTTAAAAGAAGGGGGGAAATATATCCTCTCTTTTAAAGTCCATGTCTGAATATAGTCTGTATGTTGATGTCCATGTAAGAACCCAGCTTAATATTGCAAAGAATTTTTTTTTAATGGATGAATTCATGCTTTTGTAAAGTCTGTAGGACTGTTCAGATTGTGTAGCAAAAAGATCATGTTGTACTGGTATTCAACACAAGGCCTGTGCATCAGTGAAGGTGAATGGCTCACGGTTAAGAAAGGATTCTGTAAGACTACAGGTGAAACAGTACTTAGAAATTTGGGGTTATGTAGGCTTCGTTCACCCAACCTACTAAAAATAATTTTCAAATATTAGTTATAAATCAGATGTCTTCAACACAGTCTAACATTACAACGGAGTTTCGGAAAGAAAATCACCTTACTCAGTTAATCCATTTAGCCAGATTCATGATAATAAATAACCTTTGTCTTCCAATTAGGAAAGTTTTTAAATCTCTTAAGACTTACGCACATGCATACAACTGTGATATCCATCACAGATCCAGAGACCTGGGATTTGATCTGATTTCCCTTTGTCATTTTGAAATCTTTTTTTTTTTTCTTTCCATGTAAATTCTTCCTGTTGAGTAAATCAGCTTCCCTCTAAAATATGTTTTAACTTGTGTTACGTTTTTCACCATGGCAAATATTCTATACATAGCATAAACTAAAAATACAGGTTGCAGTTCCACTGATGATGTAACTGTTGCCGGTTTGCTACAATTTCACTGGAAAATCTTGCATTTATAGTCTCATAATTCATCATTTTATGTAATTCATTTGTCATCGTATGAATCATGAATTGTGTGTGTAATTTTTCCTAATCTCTATACTGGGCTGCACCAAACAATGTAGTTCAGAGTGTCCTGTGCTTCAAAGGATGTTCTACCCATTTTATTGGCTGTTATTTGGTTACATTTCCCAGAAATGCCCTTTGCACAGATTCTCTTCTCCCTCTCCCATGTCTGCCTCCCTGCACATGCAGTTAGTAGGGAACAGCAATGGCCAGTGGCGCACATTTAATATTTGGCATTGGCTTCTGTGGCTTTTGCAGTCTGCTGTATATAATGGGGGAAATTTTACCTCATTTGAGAAGATTTTTGCCATGAGTATTGGTTAATTAGGAGAGGGACCAAAGTGAAAAAGAGAAGTAGTTAAGGAAAGCTGTGGGGCTGGCTTCTACTTTTGTTATTTCAATACTTATCCATTGCTTTCTGTAGTTTGGTTTTATTTTTCCCCTTTACAAAACTAACAAGTTGTCAACATCAAGATTATCTTCTCTTAGAAGATCACCTTTCAATATGAAGTAATTACAGAATAATCAGTACTCATTATTACATATCCTATCCTACTCAGAAATTCAGCTTCATTCATAGAATCTACTTACTCCAGATTTTCAGTTCTTGTTTTAAAAAGAAAGAAGCAGCCCAGTAAATGAAGAACAGGCATGGGCATACCTACTCTTTCTACTGTCAGACATCTGCTTCAGAGTACAAGGATGGCAGGAGAAAGATTCTGCATCTTTATTCTTACAGAACAGCTGTTCTGAATCTGGAGTTTTCAAGCTGCACTTCTGGATTTCTCTCTTGCTTGTTTATAGTTCAAAAATAATCCAAGAATTCCTTTTTTTATATATCATCATGTTTACAGTACTTGTCCATGGAAAGACTTACAGGCTTATGCCGTTGTTGAATCATATTTCTTTCTCTGTGGATGTTAGTTATAATTTATATGGGTGTAAGGGGTCGGGGTCCTTGGCAATTCTTCTGTGTGCGCTTTGGTTGGATCGAAGCATTCCCATTCCTGTTTAGCCTTCCACTAGAGAGTGTCTCACATTCACCCAAGGTTTGCAGTTGACTTTGAGGAATCTGGCAGACTGAAGCATAATTTGTCTGATGAAGTGATATTATTAAATGAATGATGTTAAAGTAATGATTCCTAAAATGTGGGAGCTACCTTCCAGGCAGATAAAGGGGATTGCAAGAAGGTGCCACAGCCTGGTTTTTAAATTGTATCCCGCTTTCTTTTGGCTTAAAAAAGAAGGTAGTTGTGACATGGAATTGAGGAAAACCTGCAGCATGCAAAATAAGGTTAAGCAGTGCAGAGGCATCTCCTGCTTTTGAAGTACAGGTCACACAATATTTCTGAGACCTCAAATGGAATACAAATTCCAGTATGTAAACCCTTTTACTTATTCTCAAATCAGGCTAGAAAGGGAAAGTTGTAACTCAGTGTTATCAAGGTTTTTACCAAACCTTAAAAATTATCTTGAGTATCTAGAGACTGCATAATGAATAAGTCCGAAATATAGAATCATAGAATAGTTTGGGTTCTAGTCCAAACCCCATGCAATAAGCAGGGACATCTTCAACTAGATCAGATTGCTCAGAGCCTCGTCGAACCTGACCTTGAGTGCTTCCAGGGACGGGGCATTTGCCACCTCTCTGGGCGACCTGTTCCAGTGTTTCACCACCCTCATTGTAAAAAATTTCTTTCTTATATCTAGTCTGAATCTACCATCTTTTACTTTAAAACAGTTATCTCCTGTCCTATCACAAGAGGTCCTATTAAAAAGTCTGTTCCCGTCTTTCTTATAAGCCCCATTTAAGTATTGAAAGGCTGCTATAAGGTCTCCCTGGAGTCTTCCCTTCTCCAGGTTCAACAATCCCAGTTTTCTCAGCTTTTCTTCATAGGAGAGGTGTTCCTTCCCTCTGAGGATCTTTGTGGCCCTCCTCTGGACCCACTTCAATAGGTTCGTGTCTTTCTTGTACTGAGGACTCCAAGATGGACACAGTACTCCAGGTGGGGTCTCACCAGAGCAGCATAGAGGGGCAGAATCACCTCCTTCGACCTGCTGTCGTATCACTTATTGTTACTGTATTGTTAGACTGATTTGATTAACATCTTTAAGAAAAAGTTTTCTACCAAATCGTAAGTTCAGGTGTTACTGTTCAGTCCAATGTGTGAAGTTTACACCCTACTTCTCCCCTCTCCCCTCTCCTCATCTCTGTTGAGTTAGAGCTTCAGCACTGCTTCTCATGTGTAGCTCTGACACTGATTAGACTCTAGTTTCTAGATGTAGGATCAAGGTATTTTTGCCACTGCACTTCAACAAGTTAATTCACTTGCTTTCTAGTTTATTGCTTAAAATCATGGTCTTTAATGCTACACAAAAGTATTTTTATTACTAACAGGTCAGATTAAGACTTTCCCATGTATGAAGTGCAAATTACAGACACAGGACTTTCTCCCTGGTCATTCCTTGCACCAATATTTTCCCAGTATTTCCCAGTAGATTTGAAAGCTTAGCCTTTGGAAGAGGAAATCAGTCACACACCTTCAGCCAGGACTCTGCTTTAACCTTCCCATGGTAAGAACTGAACTGAGAACTCCACCTGTCTTACTGCTGACTGAGAATAAAGGTTTGCACATGTGAAAGACCTCTTTTCTGTTTGGTGACTGAAGAGTATGAAACCTATTTCCAGAAGAAACTAGGGTGACCACAAACTTCTGAGCAAAGTGCCAGATATACTTTTTTGGCCCCAAGTTCTTTTGGCCTCAATTTTGGTGGGTAATCTCTCAAAAGGCACGTAGATCTGTGGTAACAAACAGGTGGATTAAATCAGAAATGTCACAGTTATTCCACAGAAAATACATGATCATGGCAACAATGAAAATATCTCAACTGTTTACACAGTGTTGAAAGAACTTACTGTTTACACTTGAAAAAAAAATCTGTGTTAACATAGACCATTCCTACCTCTTTGTGGCTTAAAGGCATATTTTTTTTGGTTTTACTTTACAGCAAGCTAGAAAGCCCTATGATGTCCGAGATGTTATTGAGCAGTATTCTCAGGGTCACCTCAACCTGATGGTGCGAATCAAGGAGTTACAGAGGAGGTATGTCAATAAAGTTCAGTGTCTGTATCCATAAACCCCAACAGAGGGATGTTTGTAAATAAGTCAGTGATTGGGCTGGGGGTCAAAAACTGACAGGGTTACATATGCCATATTGGTAGGACTCTGCAAAGCTGTGAAATATAAAATGGCATTCCAGTAAAGTTTTATTTTCATACAGGAAGGAAAAGACAAAGAGCTTAAAAATCTGATGATCAGGACTTAAAATTTTCATTATACTTACATGTATTGCCTCAGTCCCTGCTAGCTTTGACTATACACTGTAATCCCTATTTGTTAGGGGCTGTATTATAGTACAGAGTGAAATACTGTTGCCTGCTCTAGGAGAATTGCACTTAAGAGCAAACTGAGAGATGGCAGGTAGATGACACAAGTAAGCTGCAGAAGAACAAGGGAA